GTATAGTGTATAAAGGAACACTGGGTAGGATTGAGAGAGGAAAGGGGGGGGGGATTGATTTTGCTCAATGTTGTGTCTTTCAGTTACTAGGGAGGAGAGAAGAAGGAGGAGGGGAGGAGGAGGAGAGCAGCAACAGCAGCAGGAGGAGGAGAGGAAGAGTACAAGCAGCGGAGAAGAAAGAGGAGGAAAAGGAGAAAACTACCAGAAGAAAGAAAGCGATACATTAAAAGAGAACCAGATCTATTTTTTAATCAAAAGGGATAAAGAAAGAGGACATAAAAAGATAGAAAAAAGTTCCAAAGAAGAGATTTTCCATTTTGCAATTCGGAACCTCTGAATAATAATAATAACAATACTATTATGAGAGTCTAAGGTAACCATAAACACTTGTCAAACGGCATTCAGCGAAGATCTCACCGCATCAGCTGTTTTCTATAGTCAGCTAGATTTGAGGTGTGGGCTTTGTAAAGGTATTGGCGCCCGACGGGGACAGCGGGGTGGGGGCACCTCTGTAAGTCGTGGTTCACCTGAACTGAAGTCTGAAGCCTGATCTTGCAGAAAGGTTAAGGGCCCGTGTCCACTGCGACGGACACCAACCGACCCGATTCCGTCCGTCTCTCGGAAAGTCGGTAGTTGAAATGGAGCACCGATTATTTCCAAAGAAATCAGTGAAAAGTCCGTTTGGCTGTGTCAACAGACACGACACGACACGCCCCGACAAAAGACGCGTCGGTTGGAAAGCCGCTTGCTCAATTTTAGCCGAACCGGGTCGTGACTGGTGAGCCATAGGCCCCACCGGAGCTAAAAATAAAATATAATCTTGAGTTCAAATTTAAATTCAAATGTCATGTTAGTAATCAGCGTTCCAAAATTAGCAACGTCTACGCGCAAACCACCTGGTTTACACGCATATTAACAAGTTTACCAATTTTCCTTGAAAAAAACAATTCATTTCTCATTCCCGCCTTGAGTTCCTTATAACGTTTTGGTATAATCGACAATTAAAATATAATGAAGATTAAAAAAACAGGGAAGATGAAAGCTACGATTGCATAATGATAAAAGAGACGATGAAGAGCAACGCAGAGCAGAATATAGCCCGTACTGTAGAGTAATCAGTTTCTCCTTTCAAGAAAACTCACAGGCTACTTCTTAGAGGCATGGTGAGATTTACTTATACAGGCATGGTGGGATCTTTAAATACAGGTATGGAGTGATCTTTACATACGATCATGATGTAATTGCTACATACATATTATGTGGTGTGAGTGCCTTATGTAATTCTGCTTTTCGTTGTCATACGCAGAACAAATGTTTCATGACGCAGTGAAATCGAGCAATGTTCTTGCATGTGGTGTTGTTTAAATCATCTTAAATCTCATATCTTGCACTTGATGAAAAAATACCCCTCTAGCTTGAATAGAAGTTGGGATATTTGCAATTGAAGGAGGTGAGGGTCGCCAATTTTCAGAGATAAAATGTACGAGAAAATGACCTCAAAAGTTTGGTGACTTCCATAGCTTTAGAATCTTTGGAAACTGAAAATAAACGTTTATTTGTGTGCTTTTGACGGACTTTTAAAAAGGCACACAAAAATGAATATTGAAAAGTACATAATGTGCCGTTATCTTCAAATTTAATTACAGTATTAATTTGACCAGCGCCTGATTTCACCAAAATGCCAAACAAATGAAAAGGACTACGGATTGAGGATATAAAAGCAAGTTGTTGTTCTGTTTTTGAATTAAATATAACTTGCAAAACTTAAAACTGAGGATCCCCATCTGTCTGTTTGTATATATCTGTTGGCATCGGTGGCATAATGGTTAGGCTACCGGACTCGTAATCGTGAGGTTGCGGGTTCCGGGGTTCGAGCAGCAGGCCCGACGTTGTGTCCTTGGGAAAGGCACTTCACACGAATTTTCTCCACTTTACCGAGGTGGAAATGGGTACCCGGCCACAGACAGCGAAAGATCTTGTCAGTGTGTTAGTGTTTTAGCGCCTTTAAATGGCCGCTTGTACTGTACGCTTCCCAGGAAGTTGAGGTTGTTTCAGAATGCTCTCAGGTCTGCTGGAGTAATAGTATAGATTGTGAGGCGCATAGAGCTTGCTGTTGAGCGGGGATCTGCGCAAAGCAAATCAAATACTATCTATTATTCCTATTATAATGTATCCCACTCAAACTTGATTTGGGCCATGCAGGCGACATCTAAGATATTTACCC